ATGATTTTGAAATTTGAAATTCAAAATCATTGGGTGGTGGATTGATGGCCGGAGGCTTGTGGGGCTTGGGGAGGCCGGCGGCAAGGGTGACGGGGGCGGCTAGGTGGCGGGTTGTGGCTAGGTAGGTGGGTGGGATTTAGGCGGTGGGGCTAGAAGATGAATTGGGTGGAGGGAATTTGATGCAAGAAGAAAATAAAATAACAAGAAAGATAAGAGAACCGCGAATCTTGGAATCCACCAAGATTGACGGGTATTGCTTTTGCCCCACTTGGGCCTCTCCTCTCACGAACTCACTAAGAGATCATTCCAAGAGAGAAAACTTAGAACTCACAAAGAGATCCATAAGCAAAAGCTGAAAATTTCATATTAATCATCATCCCAAAATACAAAACAACTAGCCTATAAATAGGCCTCATGAAAAGAAAAGAAATAAAAGACTAAAATGCCCTTCGGGCTACAATACTACATGACCACCTGTAAGGGTATAAAGGGAAAAACAATAATATGAAATAAACTAGTACATATAAATAAATAACTCAAGATCGTAGCCGTTGATCTTCGATGTCCTCATCATATCATCTTTAAAAAACACAAACTAAGTCACATTACTTTCAATATTCTTGTAAGCATTTACATAAATAACATCATATATGTGCCATGAAATAAAACTGTAGCTCAGAAGACTTTCGACTAGTATATATTACAACAAAAACGTACCTTTTTGAAGGAGCAGCCGTTTGATTTGATGACACGGATTCTTGAATACTAGTTCTTGCATGCCCACCACGAGATCTAAGGCACAATAGAATGCAATCAATGCTATAATAGAACTGTTATTCTTCATTTTTTTTGCAAATAAAATAGTCATAAAGCAGTTCATGAGGATCAACCAGAAAAAGTTTCAAAAGAAGAAATTAAATTTATGAAAATTTGAAACAAAACTCCAAAAAGATAGCATAAAATAACTAATTACTTTCACATTGTAAGCGAGACATGCGGTAATGAAATCTTATAAAGTAGGATCACAAATACCATTAAAATTGCAATCAATGAGCATCTCCAACTCAAGAGAGGTTACATATTATGTTGCACAATTTAAACAGGTTTTACCTCCGAGTCAAATTTCTTGTTTCAAAATACAGGGCAAAATACCCAAGACCTTAACAAAATCATGATTGATATCAGGGCTCATTTGGTTCCATAATATAAAATAATTAAAAAAAAAAACTTATTTTCAGTCTTTTTGTGTGAAAATAAAATCATCACATTTGAGAACCTTTGAAGACGCTTCTAGAGTTAAAAACACTATAGATTTCAAACCAAATCCATTCAAATGACAGAATCCATTAAATTCATCATTTTTCAAAACATTTTTCTTGCTTCAACTAAACAAACTGGGCCAACTATTTCAGAGATATTCAATATTTGAACAAGTGTCCACTGCAGATGAAGATAAAAATATAAACCAATTCATAGAGATACATTGTCATATAATATGGTGTTGAATTTATTCAGGGAGACATCCCCAAACTTGATAAGAAGGAAATTACAAATTTTCTAAATAGCTTTCAAGTAGAAGCCTCAATAAGACTACATAATCTTTATTACTTACAAAAATATGTTTCTCTCCATTCTCGTATGGCCGCAAAACCATACTTCCTCAATAAACAACAAGATACATAATATAACTGACTAGTCTGAAATATATTGTTTTTCTACTGCACAAATTTCTTTTTAAAAATATAAAAAATACGGTTGTTATTATTTGATGTGTCCGCCTGCTTGGGGTTTATTAAATTCACATATATGATTTCTAAGAAGAAACGTTTAAGATGTCTACTACTCGAGATTGGCTTCACAAAGCCTCCATCCAATCTTGTTCAACATAACATGTTACTTCTATTTTGCACAAAATTTTAGATAACTTCTGGCCATAATTCTTTTGTCAACCCATTTTCAATCCAAATCTATTCATATAAATATTCCCACAACGTTAGTACGTCTCAAATTCACCATTGTATGTTAAACCACATAAGACAAGTCGATCTCCAAAACCTTATATTTAGTAGGATCATTTCCCACTCAATATTTATATTTATTTTCTCACAAATTCATCTACTTATCTCAGAGAGAGAACGTCTGGGTTTCTAGAGAGAGAAAGACCGTCATCTTGTTCGATTTCGACTTCCCGCGGATTTTCCGCGGTCGGTGGAGCAGTCGCCGGATGATCATCGGCATTTCTTTGTCGATATCATGGATGCTCCGCGACACTCTGTATCTCTACGAACCTATGGTAGAAGTATGAGCGACATTGTTATCAGAGAAGGGGCGAGACCTCCGAGCCATCAAACTCTGATTGAAGGCAAGGGGAAGAAGACGATGGTGGATTGTGCAGAGGTTAAGAGAAATACGAATCTTAAGAAAGATGCAGGTATGGCTATTCTTGATTCCTCGTCGTCGGATGATTGTATTTTGAAGGTTAATAGATTTTCTAGGGTTCTTGAGGCAAATAATTGCCGACATACTACAAATGCTTTGAACTCTGTGGAAGTTCAGAAAATTGATGAGAACGTTGATTCTGGAAAGGCTTCTGGGAAGGATACTGCAAATGTTGAAATCTTGATGACCAATTTGATTGGTAATGGTAGATAGCATGGTATTGGGGAGGTTGCTGAGGCGTGGGTGAAGCCGAAGAACATCAAGATTACTTTCAACAGGGATCAAGTGGAGTTATCTGAAGACGGGATTGCAGTCAGACTCAATCCTGACATGGAAGCAAAGAATGCACAAGTATTGAAGAATTCGCTAGTTATTAAAGTTTTGGGAAATAATGTGCCTTTCTCAAATTGCAGCATAGAATTGAGGAGGCAATCGAGTAAGTATGGCGGATTTCATATGACGTCAATTGGTATGAATTGGATCCTCTGTTCTTTCCAATCGGATGAGGCTGTAGAAGATATCCTCAATGGTGGGTCGTGGTACGTTAGTGGTTCCATAGTCGGCATGGATAGATGGTCACCTGCTTTTGATCCCAATTCTTTCAAGGGAATTTCCGCTCCTGTCTGGATCAGATTCCCGTGCTTGCCATTATACTGTTGGGATGAGGAGAATATAGTGAGAATTGCATCTCGTTTTGGCTCACCGATGTTTATAGATGGTAATACGTTTAGATGGGGGAAACGAGAATTTGCCCGTGTTTGTGTTAAGATCGATTTGGAGAAGAAACTACTGAATGGAGTTTGGGTAGATGGATCAGCTGGGAGATTCTTCCAACGGGTGGAATATGAGAAAATTGATTTGCTTTGTTATCAGTGTGGTCGAGTGGGGCATGATAAGAAGGAATGTCCTGATGATGTAATTCAGGGTATTAAAGATCAAACGACGAGAGAGCCAGATGCTGATACAGGTGAAGGAAAGAAGATTGATCCTGAAGTCAAGCCTTCTGTGATTAATTCCGAGTACGGCCCTTGGATACATGTTCATTTTAAGAACAGACGTTTTACTAAGGGAGGAACTGTTGATAAAAAAAGTGAATGGTTATAATGGGGTCAAGTTGGAGAGCAAGGGAAACATTAACCAGAAGGCTATTGTGCATAAGCAAATTCGAAAAGAAAAGGAGACTGTGGTTGCTGTGGATAGCTGGCCAGGCAGAGTTGAAGAAAACAGGCCAGGTATAGAGAAAGCTGTTGAAGACAAGATACCAGAAATCGCATTAAACAATAGATATGCGGTTTTTCTTGAGGATAGTGAAGAAGATCCTGTAGGAAAACTTGAGGAGATTGATCAATTGAAGGATACGGGTGTGGAATTGGTTGACTCAGGTGTCATGAATAATGACACGATTCACAGTGGGGCTATTAAAGTTAAGGTAGCCAAAGAACTGAAATCGTTAGGGCCATTAGAACCAGATTATAAAAAGAAGAAGAGGGATGGAAGGTTGACTTCCATGAAGGAGGATAGATCCCCTGCATTGGTCTAATGTCATCTTTCTTATTTTGGAATTGCAGGGGGGCCAAGAAAAAGGAGGCCTCCTTGTATTTGAAAGAGATTGTTAGAGATCAGGACGTTTTCTTTATTGGGTAATGGAGACCAAGATGACCAGCATTGATAGAAGAGATGTTGATTGCCACATTGGGAATGATTGGGAGTATTTTCATTACCCTGCTGTGGGTCTTTCAGGAGGTATTTTGGTGCTTTGGAATAGGAAGGTAGTGTCTTTTGTGGTGAAGGAGTCTTCTTCCCAAGTGATTGTTGGGGATCTTACTATCCCTAACTTGGGGCTGTGGAAGGTTGCCATTGTCTATGGTAGTAGATGCTGCAAGGAGAGGGAAAGTCTCTGGAGCCAGCTTGAAGAGTGTATGGAGAATTCTATTCCTTCCATCATTGGTGGGGATTTCAACTGTATTTTGAACAAGGAGGAGAAGAGAGGGGGTAAGAGGTTCCTTTTTTCAAGAGGACCTAGAGATATGAAATGCTTTATGACAAATTCAGATTTCTTTGATGTGAGAAATATTGGACCAAGGTTTACTTGGTGCAACAACAAAGAATGTGCCTCTCGGATTTGGGAAGGGCTAGATAGGTGCTTGTTGAATTTGGTTGCTCTTCAGAAAACCCCTTTAGCTATTGTTAGACACCTAGCTAGAGTGGCTTCGGATCATAGTCCAATTGTCCTCAAAGTGGATAATAGGGTGCGGTTCAATTCGAATACCATCAAATTTGAGGATACATGGAGATCTTACCCAACGGCTAGGAGTATTGTGTATCATTCTTAGAAGAAAACTGACTTTGGTGATGATTGTATGATCTTGCAAAGGAAGCTTAGTAGAACTCTAAAAGCACTATTTTTTTGGAGTAGAAATGCAAAGACTTGAATGTGTTGAAGGAAAATCTGAAAAAGGAAATTCTGGAACTTCAAAACAAAGAGGCCTTGGGAGAAGATTGGTCAGTTAATGATCTTTTTCTGCTTAGAAGCAAAGTTCATGATCTTAATGTGACATTGAAGAGATTGTCCACTTGGTGGAATCAAATGGCAAAAGCAAGGTGGCATGAGGAAGGAGACACAAACTCAAAACTCTTTCATAATTTTGCTACGACAAGAAGGAACGGCAACAGGATAAATCAAATAAAAGATGTACACAATAATCTGCAGGAAGAAGATGATCAAATTGAGAAGGTATTTATCCATTACTTTGAAGCAAAATGGAAAAACAGAGATTGCGAATTGTCTGGATGGCCTTTGATTTCAGAAAAACAGAAATTGAACCCAGGTGAGGTGGCTGTGTTGAATGTTGAGTTCTCTGTGGATGAACTGCAGCTGTCGGTATTTCAACAGGGGAATAATAAATCTCCAAGTATGAATGGAGTTACCTCCTCTTTTTACAAGTGCTATTGGAATATTGTGTGAGAAGCTTTATGGAATGCTATTAATTGCTTTCTAAAATCTGGCCATATGAGTATGGATTGGAAAGATACTCTTATAGTATTGATTGCTAAGGTGAAAAACCCATTGTTTCCATCTAACTATAGGCCTATTAGTCTTTGCCAGACTAATTATAATATAACGGCTACAATGTTAGTTACCAGATTGAAGAATTGCATTTCCAAGAAGATTATTGAAGAACAAATGGCCTTTATTCCGGGAAGATCAATTTCAGAGCATTGTCTCTTGGCTCAAGAGATCTTTCATAAGTTCAAAATTTCTAAAAATAAAAAGGGCTTGATGACTATTAAATTGGACAAGGAGCAAGTGTATGATAGTATGGGGTGGCCAACTCTTGGGCAAATTCTTAATT